GATGAATTATGCGTGTTTCTTCGTTCTGGTGATCTTCCTCTATAACTTGAGTTATATGGTGATTGATTTCTTGTATAATTTGTATTGTTCGGGAGTGGTTTTCCTGAACTGTTGTTGCTGTAGACTGTTTTGTTCGGTAGATTTTGATCTTTTTTCATGTATTGATAGAATGATTTATTTGGTTCTTTATATTTTTGAGGTTTATTTTGATTGTCTTGCTGTTTTTGTCTACATTCGGAAATACTATGTCCGTATCGTCGGCAATAATTACACCATTTTTTGAAAGATGGTTTGCCTTTAAAGTTTGGGTTCTTTTCGTAAATATTGAGTATTTCAGTGATTTTTTCAACGAGGTCTGTCTCTGATTCCTGTATATTATTAATATTAGTGGGAGTCGTTTCAATTCTGTTAACGTATTGTAATTTCAGATTTTCCGTTTCTTCTAGTTTCATCGTGATTTCTGCTTGTTCTAATTTGTCTACTAGTTTTCGAAAATCTAAATCGGGTTCTCGAATTGAAGAAGGATGGGATGCTCTCTTTTTTATTGCTATTTTCCTTAATTGTGGTGTTAAGGTCATCATTAAGATTTCTGTCATCTTTGTGTTTTTATAGTCGTGTGTATTTAGTGAATATGCTTTTCGAACTAGTGTTTCGATTCGTACTGCTAATTGCTTGATGGTTTCGTTTGGTAATCTGCGAATTTCATTACATAAAACTCTTTGTTGTTGTTTGTTTCTTTCGGAGTCAAACATTTTTGAAAATTCCTGTGTAAACCTTTTCCAGTTTGATTTTATTTCTAGAGGTAGTACTGAAAACCATTTTTGGGCTGCGCCATCTAAGGTTGTTTGTATTAACGCTGTGCGTCGATGTATCCAGTTTTGATGTAGTGGCGTATTAATTGGTTCAGGTCCAATATTTAAAATCAGGTTTGCTGTTACTGCATTTAAATAATCTTCTACAGAGTATTCAGGGTCTGTTCCTGTGAAAACCATTAAAGGTTTGTTTGATGTTATTGATGATCCACCCATAAGGTATGGATTCATTGTCATTTGTAATGATTCTGCTGCATTTGGCATTTGAGAAAAATTTGAAAGTTGGTTTCTTGTTATTTCATGTTGTTGGAGATAATATGGGAGTGGTATTTCATTTTGCATTTGTGATGGTTGATACGAGTGTGCAGTCATTGGATTTTGTTGTTGAATTGGTTGAAAAGATTGTGTATTAATTGGATTTTGTTGTTGAATTGGTTGTTGATGTTGTGCATCTATTGATTGTGGAAAAAAATTTCTATGATTTGTACGTGTTCTCTGTATTCCTTGTCTACGATATTCTTGAGTATTTTGTGCAAATATATCTGGTTGTAAGAAATCATCATCTGAGGATAAATAATCCATTTGATAAGATGTCTGTTTTTTATTTTTATTTTGTTGAAAAAATGGGTAATTTTCACTGTGATCCTGTGGAGGATTTGTTTGGAAATTTATTGAATTAGGTTGGGTCATTGGGTTATCCCAATTTCGAGATCTTGTATATTGGTTAAAATTTCTTTGTGGTTGATTATATGTTTTTGATGGATGTGTATAATTATAATTATGGTCTGTAAAGTTGTTTCTAGTGAATGTTTTGCGTGTTTTTGATGGTATTGTCATGGGTCTGTATGTTTGGTAATCCATATGTGAATATTTAGGTGCAACCGAAGGTTTAACGGTTGATTGTAAGGTTACCTGTGTTTGTGAAGGATTTGTATTTCTTGGTGTTGTTAAATTTGGGCGTATTGGTGAAATACTTTGTTGTGTAGTTGTTGTGTGTACAATTTCTTCATTTATGAAGTGTGATGGTGTCTGGATATCTTGTTGAGTAAGATTCCTAGTTCCATTGAGGTTTTCATTGTGTATAACTGTAGAGTTTAAACTATTATTTTGTGTATCGGGTAAAAATGTATTATAGTTTAATGGTGTCGCATCAATGGTTAATGGTATTACTTTTACATAATCTCTTATGTAAGATATTGTACTTATTGCTTGACTTGAGATTGTTTGTGGGAAGCTTATAAATGCGGTATGAGACCATTCGGGGTCCCAAACATAATCTGATTGTTCTGTGATAGCGGTATCATCGTTCGAGTTTTGGGGTCTAAAATTTTTTCTTGCTTGTGCAATTAAATCAATATTGTGTGTGAAATAATCTATTATGAACCATGCCAAAATTTTTTGTAGATCGTGTTTTGTATGTTGTGAAACGTCGTCTTTCGTGAAATTTTCTTTAATGATGTTTAAATAACTAGAGAGTAGTGTGATTTCATGTCGTACTCTTAAATGTTTAGATGTTTCTGTCGGTGAGACATTTGTTATTGGGATTTCGTTTTCTAATATCGAAATATAACTATATATTATTGCGAAAACTTCATTGGTGAATATGGAGTTTGCTCTTTGTGAGTTATGATATTGGATGTTTTTTATATATTCTGAAAAAACTTTTGAAAATTCTAAATCAAGATCGTCTGTTTGAATTGTATATTTTCTATTATTATGGTTTGGTGAGGTGAATTCTATGGAGTAGATTCCATACTGTTGTGTTATGTTGCATATATCTTTTAAGTAGTGGTCTATGATTTGTCTTTTGATTTTTACATCTGGGAACTCTGTTTTACATGGACTGATTCCGGGTTCAAATAAATTTAATAGTAAATTTTTGCAAAATATATGCTGTCCTCTATCAGTGGTTGCATCTACTATAAAAGGAAAGATTTCATCATCATCTGGACTTTCTTCACCTGGAGTGTGCGTTGAGCTCATTTTTTCGTTCGATGACTGTTAATATGTAATTATTAATGTGTCGAATTGGTTGATTCCAATTGTATAAATGTACTGGTTTGTGTTTATACTGCTTTTTTATTCTTCTTTTTCCTCTTTTTGATGAATTTGAAGTTGTTTCTGAGTCAGAAAAATATAATTGATCGTGAAGTGGGTAATTTTTATCTATTGATTCTTTTAGTTTGTAAAGTTCGTCTAAACTGTTGGTTTCTGATTCTGAAAATGCGTTTCGATTTTTTGAAAATCTTTTTCGTGTTATTTGTCTTTGTTTCGTTATTATTTTTCTTTTTAGTGTTTGTCGTTTTGTTCGAATGTATCCAACTGTTTGTGTATGAGGTGTGATTACAAGGTCGTATTTTTTGTTATCTATTTCACAATTGTGTAAAACGATTGTTTGTTTATTTCCTAGGTTTTTAAATGACATAAGGTTTAGGATGACGGATGCAAAAGGTTGTTAAATGGTTTCTATTTTCTTAAACTGTTAGTTCTTACGATTTTTTGGTTAGCTTAACCTGGGTCTATTTGTTCAGGGTTGGAGAGAAAAGTATATCGATTCCGAAGAATGATTTTTTACTTTCTCGTGGCTAGTATAAGTTAAGGTGTTAACTTACTTAATCTTACTTAGGGGTAGTGATTGTGTTCAAGGGTTGGAGAATAGTAAATCGATCCACAAGGTTCAGGTATAATTAGAACGCGAGTAGTTCGTTAGATACTATTTTAAACTTACTAAGTCTAAGATTTATCCTGGGTCTGTTAAGAGGGGGGGTCAAGTGAAGGATGAATAACCGAAGTTCTTCACTGTTTATCCTAATTTGAATGATTATTTTTGTTTAAAAATTTCTATTAGTTTTGGGTCTTTAGAAAGGGTTGGGTAGTGAATCGACGTTTGAGGTCGTTAGACACTAATTAAGTGGGTGGGGGAGAACAAAGTTGTTCTGTTTGATCCAAGGATAAGCCTTGATGATCAAATTTGAAATTTAATTAAGTAGAAAATGATTTAAGATCCAAGGATAAGCCTTGATGATCTGGTTTTAAAATTAAGTGAATTTAAGTTTTAATAAAATTTTAAATGTGTGTAAAGGAAAGATTTAGTGTTTTGATGATATTAGTGGGTTTATGATTGCTGTTATGTTTTAGGTGATGGAGCTGGAACAACAGGATGATTTATGATTACTAACCATTTACTGTCATGCTACTAATTTTTATTTTGATTTTTCAATAAATATTTTTCAAACATGTTTTGTATATTACTACAGAATTTAGGAAAACGATCTGAGATCTTTTTATCAATCGTTATTGTATATTAATAATTTTGTTTAGCGCCTGAAATGATTTTGAACATTGACTTCAAAATTTTATGTTTGCAAATGAAAATCTAAATTCATTGCTAGTAGTATTCTAAATACAAAAGTTTGTTCTGGCTTTTGCCGAACTATCATATAACTATATGGTAAGTTTCTACTTTGTCGTATGTCGTCTCTGGTTCGAGGTCTTCTTCCAATTCCGGGTAGTTCTGTTATGGTTCGGAATATGGGCTCTGATCTATTGAGTCGTAGAGACATTTCGATTAAATTATTGTCGTATAACATTTTGTAAATGTTTTTGTCTAATTTCTAATCTATTTTGGTTAATTCTAAGCTATTAAGGTCTTGTTCGAGACTTATGGTCGCACCAGATGAGTTAGGACCGAGTTGGTTAACTCATAGAGTAATTTCGGATAGGGTACACCGTCTGCTCGTCACGCTATCTTATTTTCGGCCGGATAGATTCGTGCAACTTCTTAGTCTAATACCGATCCTAATCTTACTCTTATACTATCTAGTCTCAGGTTGTTTAACTAGTCTCTGCTAGGCTCAATAGATCTAGGGTATACTGGTTTATTGCGGCTGCTGAAGTGCTCGGGAGAGTCCAACTAATTTCTAAGTTAAATTCAAATCTCTCTGGTGCTGAAATTACAAGTAACTTCAGCACTTACAAATAAGTGGGTTGTTAGTTAGATGGATCATGATTGGTTAATATTAAATACTTTACATTGGTAAAATATCTAATTTATCCAATCATAAAATGTAGTTTAGATCAGGTTCCACGTATGTTATGTTTTGAACAAATCATCTTAGATTAATTGAACCTATATGCTTTATTAGGGGGCCGAAATGTGTGAATAACAAATCACCATGATGTCTGTAGTTTTAATTCACACTTTGTTCAATGGAGTTCCATGTGAAAACAAAAGTCATCTGCAGTGTCCTCCTGTTGATTCGCCATACCATGTGCATGATAGTGGATTGAACACGCCACTGTGTTGTGGAATAGAGGAACACATGACTCTTTCATAGCATGGTACTTTCGAAACTCCGTTGTAAAAAAAATTTTGTTTGGGGTTGAAAAAATCTTTGCAAAATGGCACAAAAAAAATCAAATATGAGCTTGCTGAGCGTTATATGAAAAAAAAATAATGGAAAAATTCCCAACCCTTTTATGTAGCACCTAAAAACCTTATCCAGCATATAGTAGAAAACAATGAAATATTTTCTCATGCTTGATCGGTAAATAATGCAAAGAGCGATCATACAGAGCAAGGTTATCTCCTTACTTTACACAATTGAGTCATAGTTTTAGGAGGTTGGGAAAATTGTCAATTTTAGACAAGTTGGCGTGCCAAGTATTTAGTTTCTATTTCAATAAGCGAGTTTTCTCAAAATAGTTCTGTCTTTCAATGCAATCTAAAAAGTAAATACGTTAAATAAATTGAAAATTGGTTAGAGGCTTTGAAAGAGTCATATCTGATGTAGGAAACTTGTTGCATGGACTCCAACGGAGTAAGCGCTTGTTGTGCATCTACCCACACCTGCTGTGGCGGCAACTGCTGTCCCCAGAATGAACAGTGCTGCGGGGATGTGTGCGTCCCGAAAGAGTACAGCTGCTGCCGTTCGGGAGTGTATTGCGGCAATCTACTCAGTTGTTGTGTTATTGTGAACCAGATAATGTCATGTTGTCCCACTGCAACAAACGAATCAAAAACCTTGAATTGAAACTTTATTACATATGAAAAAAGTTGTTAAAATGCATATATAATATTTTCTATTGTTTTTAATCAAAGGAAAAATCTTAAAATGTTTTAAATAAGGATTCGAGGACGGATATAAGAGTTTAGCCGGTGCGCGGGCGCTTTCTTCTCAGGGATTTGGCCCCCTCATCAACAAGAGAGTCCTCCTTTGGTAGAATGTTTTGACATATTTTCGACGACAAATACTAAAAATACTAAATTTTTTCTAACAGCGCCTTTGACGCCAATATTTACTAACTTTGAAGGGGAGTATTCCAAAAAGTATTCCAAAAATATCCAAAAAGTGAACAAAATGGCATTTTGACCCGTTTTTTTTTCAAAAATGTATTTATCTTTTTTCCAGTCATGAGGCTTATTGCTTTTTTAATGCAGTTTTTACTACCTCGAAAAACTGGTAGGGGTTCGAAAGGTGTGTCAAATTGAAGCCCTGCTGGTCGTGATATGGATTGAAAAATTTATGTTTCGAAAAAATTGGTCTAATTTTTTCAACTTTTGAACTAAATGACACTTTTTTGACTTCCACTTGATTTGCGCCATTTTATACGTTTCTAAAAAAGTGATGAAGTTACAATTTGATGAAAAAACAATACCAACTATCTCCAAGGATGGTCGGTTGCTGAGCAAGTAGCACAGAATGCTCTGACCACATTCATAAAATAACTACATTCATAGAAAAACTAGACTTTTTTTTTTCGATTTTGGAACTATAGCTTTGATATCAGCCCCTATTTTTAAACTCATCGCGCGTGTTAATTCGTAATGAGCAGCGCTACAATTGTGAGTAACTTAAAGTTGCTGGCTAGCTGGTCGATTCTAAACAATATAAACTTTCACTTTCCACTGTCTTTAACACACAGCCTCACATGCTGCCAAAATTTACTAACTTTGAAGGGGAGTAATCCAAAAAGTATTCCAAAAAATTCCAAAAAGTGCACAAAATGGCCTTTTTGACCTGTTTTTTCAAAAATGTATTGATCGTTTTTCCAGTCATGAGGCAATTGATTTTTACGGCAGTTTTTATTACCTCTTAAAACTGGTAGGCTTTCAAAAGATTTGTCAATTTGAAGCCCTGCTGGTCGTGATATGGATTGAAAAATTTCTCCTCTGAAAAAATAGTCTTATTTTTCAACTTTCGGACAATATGGTATTTGACGTCTACTTCATTTGTGCCATTTTCTACGATTTTAAAAAAATGATGAAGTTACAATTGGATGGGAAAGCAAAACCAACTATCAACAAGGATAGTCGAATGCTGAGAAAGTAGCACAGAATGCTCTGACCACATTCATAAAAAACTAAGAAAAAGTTTTTTTTTTATTTCGATTTACGTCACCTTTAGTTTTGTGGTGTGAATAAACGAATATATAAGCGCGTAGCAGGTTAGTGAAATAAAATAATTGGCAAAAATTATCTCCTTAAAAGACAGAAAATTATGACTAAAAGGGACAAACAAAAAAAAGAAAAAGAAAACTAATTTTCACTATTTTTTTTAAGAATCATTCGAAAAGTAATGTTGTCTTGAGCTTAAACTTGCAGCCTGTGATCTTTTTTTGTAAAATTATGGGGGCTTAAAACTTGCGTTTTTGGCCAATTTTTGACAATTAACGCGCGATATTTTTCGCGCTATTAACGCGTAATAAGCGGAGATTTAATCCGTCTTAGAAATCGTTCCAAATCGGTTGAAAGAAGCTTATTTGCCATAATTCATTTGTTACAAGTAGCGAAATCTATTTTTTTGTTTTTTATATGGCGTGTGGGGGATGATTTTCATAGAAAAATTTTCAAATTTTGGAAAAAACTTTTTTCATTATGTTTTATTTTATTTAATTTTTTTATGCTGTTCATGTTATAACTGCTCCATAAAAGTTAATAGGCAGTCGGAACTTTCAAGGCTTCGCCCTGATACGAGCAGTCTCGTTTTAGTTTTATAAATTATATGTTTGAAAGTCTGCTTTAAACTTCAGCTGCACGTCATTCAATTTGTGCCTAATTTAGATTAGACATCTTCTTCCCCTTTTTCTTCTCCCGGATTTAGCTGTGTTCAGATTTTGACAAGTGCTTTTTTCTTGGTCTTTTTCGTAAGTTATGTTCACTCGAGATCTGATTGGTGGTAGGGGAAACAGATGAAAAAAACTTTTAATAAAGATATTAAAACAATAAAGATTTGCTGCTTGATTGTAAACTGCATTTTAACAAGTCAAAAACCTGAAGAACTTAACGCAGGTTGAGTTCTTGTGGAGTAAAGATTAAGGTAGTATTTTGTTTAGACGTGACTCAGCGTTATCATTTTTTAAAAATATGTGTATTGGGCTGCTAAGCATGTGTTCTAAATTTCAAGAAAAATGATTCGGTAATAAAAGCGTAATTGGTAATTGTTCCGACTTTCGATACGAAAGTAACGGAATATTTGTGCTCGGGGTGGTTTTTTTTCTTCAGACAAGTTTCGACATTTTAACTAGCCATTTCTGACGGAATTTTTATATCTTTCGAAAGGCATTGCTGCCCTGAGCTCAAATTTGAAAATATATTTTACCTGTGATCATTTTTGGTAAAGTTATGAGGGTTTAAAGATTGCCATTTTGGCCATTTTGACCAATTTGGGACAATTAACACGCAATATAATTCGCGCTATTAACGCGTAATAAACGGAGATTTACTCCGTTCTAGAAAACGGTTCAAATTGGTTGAAGGAAGCTTATGTGCCAGAATTGATTTGTTACTAGGCGCTTTGTACGCTATATGGCGGGGAGATGATTTTCTTTTTTAATTTTATTTTATTGCTTTTATTTTTTATGTTATTACTGCTCTATAGATACTTTAGTGCAGTCGGAACATTCAGGGCTTCGCCATGATACGAGCAGTCTTGTTTTACTTCAATTTCAGTACGCCAATATTTACATTTTTTTCTCAAAAAAAATTAAAAAGCAAGCTCAAACAACTGCTCACGAGTACAAAAACAACAATGCGTTTTTACAGTGTTGCCGAGTTTAAAGTCAAAATCATAGCAAAGTTTCGTCTAATATTCAATTTTGATACAAATAGCAAAAACAAAACTTAGTGTTAACTGATTTTTTTTTTGAAACTCTTGATTTTTTCCCAACATGCTATGTAATTTATAGATTGATATATTTTGTCCTTTAATGATTTAATAAGAACAAATTGCTTGCCTAAATTCAAAATGCCTTTCCACTAAAGTTTTAGTCAGACAAAACATAATGTGAGTAACTATACCAAGGTAAACAAGCTAGTCCCAACTTCGAATCCCCAAAACTTTCATTTGCAGCTTATATTTTAATAGGACAAAATTTATCCCAAATTAGATAGAGTAGTCCCATATTCAAATGCTGGTAACTGAAAAACAAAAACAATTTATTTCTGTTTCAGTTTAAGAGATCAACATCTTTCAGATGGTATCACCTAACTAAGTCAAAATAAAACTAAGTTAGAATGCCGAATTTTGTCTGGAGAAAAAATAACACCCCGCGAATAAATAATCATCAATTTCTTAGAAAACTTATAACAAAAAGTTGACCCAAAATAGAATAGTGGCTTGTAATAACTGAAAACGGCTGACAAAAAATCTGACTGATTAGACTCAGCGTAAAATCACTAACACTTAAAAATGATTTTAAAAAAATTGGCCTATAACAAAAAACGGCTCCACTAAAACTAGCCCTAGCGAACAAAAGGATATTTAGAAAATCAGTTCTTAGGAAATTTCTCGATGTTTTTTCGAATTTTCTATCGTGATCTTATTTAGTGTCTGACAAAGCGTAAATTCAAATTCAAAAATGAAAAAGTGGCACATTGAATTAAAACTTCATAGTCATTTACACATTCTCCATTTTTCAAATATTTTCATTTCGAATCTCAGCTTTTCAAAAGTTTCTCACGTTCATCGTCCTTATAATCCGTTAGATTTGGATGCAATAAGATTCAATTAGGTGTTTCGCAGCTGTTGGGATTGCTGGAACAGACCAGGAAGTCAGGACAGCAGTGGACGATACTCTTGGCTCGGCAACACTGCAGATGCTCCCCACAATATGATCCTGAAGACATGTCACAGATTTATGCAGGTTAATAGTATAAGTAGCTATGTTAACAATTTTATCCGAAATTGGCCGGCCGAAAATTGATGTTGTAAAATAGTATGAAAGTGGAACCTTTGGGTAACAAGGAGTCAAAACCCTGAGGAAATAGGGGGTCAAATCCTCAATCGACCACAGTGATTTAGTCAATAACAGAAGCTAAATTTTTTGGTTTTAATTGCAACGTTTTAATCTTCTGAACTCTTTTGAGTTAAAAGGTGAAAAATTATATGTTTAAATAATTGTAATAAGAGATTTAATAGCTAAAATAACGTATAAACTGCTAATTTACTCTCGAAAACGGAAAGATGATAATACTCTTTTATCTTTTTTTTGAGATATTTAGAATTGATTGGAAAAATCAACCTCCTCTATACTTCCGTCCATAATTTATACCATAATTTGGGAGAATCGGAAGAGTATGTAGATTTTAGGTCATCATTTAGTCATCACTTGAGAGATCGCCATTGGATTTTTATCTAGACTGCTTTTGGGCGACTAAATGAGTATTAAAAATTTTCTTGTGGGCAGATTCTTTTTAAAATGAATTTTGAGTGACGTGGAGGGTAAATTGGTTCTCACGAACAACTCAAAGATTATACTTACAATTTCAAACTGGAAATTCAAGAAGACAGCAGCAACAATTAATATCTCAAGTTCGTTTTAGGGCAAAAGTTTATGGGTTAAGGGGCCCTGTTAACCTGCTCTTATAACCTTAACTCTCTTATAGAAAAAGTTTGTTTGCCATCAAGATGTTTTTTCACACATGAATCAAACAAAAACTGGAGTCCTACAAGGGTAAAAATTTGGTACAATACATTTTCTGCTCTTTAACTGATCTTTCTGAACTAGTATAGACTCTGAAATCATTTTGTTCGCTATGGTAAAAACCAACAAAAGAAAATTAGAAATAAGTTGAAAATAGAGAAACATAAAAAAGAATGGCAGCAAGGAAAACGTAACTGAATACATGGTAAACTCAATTCATGGTGAAGAGCAGATAAAAACCCGCAATTCAAGTGGAACAAAAATTTTCTAAAAAACCCAAATTGTCGGATATTCCGATGTAATCATTGAGTCACAGAAAACTAATTTTTGGGCTCGAATTAACGTTATTCTGCCAAAAATTAAAAAGTTCATCTCAACTTTTTTTGAAATATTACACAATTCACTATTAAATTTTGTTATCACGAAGTTTCAAGCAATATGTTCAGTGTTCTAATTTGATTGTCAAGGCAAACGTTTCAAGAGATAAAATTCATGATATCAAACAAAACAATTTGTTCCTTGCTTGAGCAACATGTTTATGGGACGCTACCCTTTCTAAGTAAACATTTAGAAATGTATAACGCAATGAATTATCTAAGAACTTCATTGAAAACACAAAGTAATCAACTCTTAAAACAAATCAACAATTCAGTTAAGTAAAAAAACAGTCAGGCACACGTAAATTATACAACGTTCAATCTCATTTTGATTGAAAAAGCATTTAATGCAAATTTATCGATTTAAATTAATTCGATTTGAAAAGACTTTTGTACAAAAAAAAAGAAACTTAAGGGCCATTCAGAACTTGGCACAGATTTCGTTTGAACGGTTGCTTACATAAACCACTTTTTAAGTTAAAAGAAACTATGATGAACCAGTCTGTGTGCTATGTCTTTTTATCTCTGACCTTTTTTGAATTAGATTTTTGCAATAATTATATCTTTTTGGCATCTTTTCAAATCATTTTTTCAATTAACTTCAAAGTATTAGAGGTAAATTTTTCCAATGTAAAATTTTACAAATATAAGTTTCTCAAGAGTTGAAAAATTCGCAAAACGCAGGCTGGATAGTTTTTAGTGTCCGCTCATGCTGATGCTCGTCAATTTTATATTTTATGCTTTTGTGTAGCGCGCATTGCTTCAAAACCCTTTTCTTTTAAGGTTATTTGTTTAAAATTTTTGAAATTTTAGTCAAATTTCTAAGACTGCGGGCGCAGATATTGAACTAAGATAATGTTCTTCTTTTCTAATTTCGCATACAACAAACACCACAAAATTCATTCATAATAATTAAGGTTAATCCTTCTTTTCCCCAAAAAAAGCCTCAAAATACATAACACTGCTTCAATTCAAGTCAAAATGTTTCTTACATATATTTTTTGTTTGAAGTCTATAAAAAGTGTGTTTTTAATGAGTAGGAATTTTTATATTACTTGTGAATAGCATGTACCAAAATACGCACTAAAATTGAATTTTAGTTACTAACAAACAAGATATCGAGAGCAAAATTTGCAACCAATTGTAATCAAATAGATGTTCAGTAAAACTATTTATTTAGTGCATAAAAGTGAAGTATTGTTTTTTTATTTATGATAATCAAGTGTAACCTTAGTTTAACCAATAGGGTCAATAACGATCTATCAATGAGGTTATATTTTATAACTAAGTAACTATTATCTCTTCAATTACAAAAAGTAACTATTATCTCTTCAATTACAAAAAAAGGATCGATACTAGATTCAAGGTTTGATTAGCAACAGGTGGATTGATGTTTCGATCACTTCACAAAATACCCGCACCCAGTTAAAAGAGAAAATAAGAGTTTATAATAGTTTTTATTGTCAGTCTCCATAAATTTCAAAAAGAATTGATTATGATCGATTAAAAATGAATTGTAATGTTACTATGGTTCGAAACAATGAAAATCATTATAGTCGATTATAATTTATTAAATTAGATTATTTTTTTAAATTTTTTTTTCTCAAGTTTTATTGAACTATAAATCGATTATAATGGAATATAATCCATTTTTATTCAAGAAACGTCATCGCTTCATTTGGTTTTATTTTTCTTTTGTTTTATATGCTTTTCAGTTGGTTATTGAACTAAAAGAAACTGTAACTTTGTACTCATAGCTAGGCGCGGTTTTAGGGGGGGTTTAGGGAGGGGGTGACGTTCTTTTTCCTCAAGGATTCGACCCCCTGCCGACCCAAAGGGTCCCCCCTTTGAACTATTTTGAGATATCTATCCAGTTTTGGTGAAGGAGCCTAAAAACTTTCTAAAGACGCCTTCGAGGAGAGCGCGCTAGAAAAAGTGCGAGTAGGAAGGAGTAAACTATGTGATAGGTATGTTTTTTTTTTCACTTTTGATTACCCTAAATGAATTTACAAGACTGTCAAAAGTGTTATTTCTAAGCTTTATTAGTTGTGATTCAGATTTTAGAAAAAAATCAAAAAGTTGTCTCGTACTTTGATCTCCCATTCTTGTGTTTTTTTTTCGTTTAATTCAGTCGCCTTCCACTGAAAAAAAAAATAACCAGAAAAAGAAATAAACTTTAAGTTGAGTTTTTTTTCAAGTTTTATCTTCATCTTTGTATTTCTGCTCCTAAATCAGTGTGTTTGGGGAATTTTGTGCCACTTGCACAGGAACCGGCTATCTTTGTTTCTTTATAGTAGTGGATTTTCTCCTTACTAAGTACCATAGGGGGGGGGGGGAGTATGGGGTAAAGATGAAGAAATTGAAGTAGCCTGATTTAAGTATTTTGGTTTTAAAATAAATTTGATTGCAACTAAAAATTTTTAAAAACCAAGTGCCGTGGCGAGATGCATTTTTTAAAAACTATCCGCACCTGATACACTGCAGCACTCGTATTCTTTCGGTATACAAACAGACCCGCAACACTGTTCCGACTCCGAGCAACACGCACCCCCACAACACGTAGACTCCTGAAGACAGCAAGAACCGAACCCCTTTCCAGCGAGGCAACATGTCTCATTAGTCGAACAGCAAAAGTTCTCGGCGTCAACATAAGGAGGTACTAAACCGGGTGGACATCGGGTTTCGTCTAAATCGCAGTCGGGTTTGTCAGCCCAATAGGGAATTATTACTACTGCTGTGACTATGAGACATGCGAGAAAGAGCAGAAATAAAGCCAGTCGAATACGGTAGACGAAGAGTAACTTGAACTTGGTCGATTCTCTTTCAATTTTATTTACTAAAGGGTCCGTATCCTAAAATCAAAGCGAAAACCGGAATTTATGCATGTCTTGACCCCGAAAAATTTGTTAATGAAAACATGAGAAAATTTGACGAACAACAGAACTTTTTACTATAAACGGAGCAAGAAACAAAAACTGTTATAAGCGATCAACTCTAATTTATAAAAATAATTTTTAAATTTTTTGGATAATCGATTTTTTGTTGGTTGAAGAAAATGTTGTTCGGACTGAAGATTTATGTGTTTTTACCGATTGTGAACCATCACTTTGATCTTCCTCGGGATCTACTCTGCGGACCTGAACAAACTCCCGATTGCTATCACCGCCTTTCAGTTTAGAACCACAATGTCCGCACTTCTTCCTCACTAAGTCGTACTTGACAGAGTCGTCCAAGTCAGGGTTCTCCTGAAATTAAAAACAATTCCACTCATTAAAATTATTTGTTTAGTCATCTTAGAGGTACATGACAAAGCTGTGATTCTAGATTTTCTACATAAAACCAGAAGCGAGTCTCTAAGATTTTCTCAAGGGGGCGAAAAAGCAGGTCAAAAATGCCGATTTTGGACACAATTAGAAATTTTTGACAAAAAAATGCATTTTTTCGCGCGCGCTCCATTCAAGGTTAGTATATATTGGCGAAAAGTTTTAGGGTTGATCAGGAGAAAATGGATGCCATAAAATAGTACCAGAAGGAAAAAGCCTTTGGTTGTTGAGGGGGGTCGAATCATTGAGAAGAAATTATCCGCCAAACCCCACCCCCCTCCCCCTATATCCGCCCTTGCATATAACTGATACTATTGTGTAGAAATGTATTAATGGGTCTATTGAAACTCGTATACGATAAAGATTGATTTTTGGGTTTTTATGTCCCAGTTAACATATCGCACGTTAACAATTGCCCAAAAAAAACTGAAAACCTTCTTGGAACAAATTTTATCATTGCTCCATCTCCATGTAAAATATTCGATATTGATTGACTGATAACTACAACACGAATCAAGCTAACATCCGTCCCCTAAGCAATTGAGTGAGAAATAATCAGAACAAAAACACAAAACGAATTTACTTAATTTTGATACGCCGCGGCCACTACAACGAGGACGGATTGCCTGAAAATGGTTGCAGATTGAATTTGATGCTTAACATCAGCGTTTTCAAACTTTTGTAGTATTACCAATGCTAACGTTACTGAGCATTTATCATTTTTCTAACATCATGTATAGCTTGACAAGATATTGGATCCCAACCCAGGGGCAGATCTAGAATTTTCTCGAGGGACGGTTTCAAAAATTAGGCTATAAGATATTTTAGGCACTTTTTGGAAGGTTTTGACCCAACCTTTGTAATAATTTCTTGAAGATGAGCAAACCTCTATGAGTGTGTGACGTGGTGTTGCCTCCGGGTACAGTACTGTGGTGACCCTCTTCACTTTACTGCTGCGAGTGCTGGATCCCAACTTCACATAACTTTCTCTGTTCTTCTTCTCTTCTGCTTCTTCTTGTATGAACTGGTAGGACGAAGGTCTAGTGTAGTTGGCACTGAAGGTCTTCGCTTTCTTTTTTTCACAATTATTCGAGTGCTGAAAACTAAGAGAAATACAAGAGATACGCGAAGCATTTTAAAGAAACAATATCACGTTATCTACAAGGGCGGATTTGGGGAGGAGGCGAGGCGGATGCTTTCTCCTTAGGGATTCGACCCACTTACCAAGCGAAGGGCCCCCTTTGGTATTATTTTATGACATACAGATCAAAAAATGTATACAAGTTTGATGGGGATCGCGCGCCGACAAAACGCAATTTTTCGGTCAAATCTTGGAAAGTTTTGTCAAAATATGGTCGTTATCAGGTTCGAATTTAGAATTTTCTCGAGGGGGGTGAGTTTCCAAAAAATTGTTTTCAGTTTTTCGAACATTTTGATGATCTTTTTTCCGCGCTTTTTTTGATTTTCCGAGCTTTTCAAAACACAATAAAGTTTCCTATTTTTAGAAAAAAATTTTGTGCCGCAGTATTATTTTTGAAAAAAAAGCTGACCAAAAAGCCGTTTTGGTTACTCCTCTGAAAGTTAATGGCTGCGTTAGAAAAATTTTCGATGGGTCGACCAAAGATGGACGACATAAAATAATGCCAAAGGGGTGACCCTTTGGGTAGTGAGGGGGTCGAATCCCTGATGGTGAATTATTTTCCAAATTGTTTTCCTGAGCACTCACAGAGCACTATAATGAATATTTACAGTGTTCTTGTCTGGTCGGAAAATCAATGTTATCGACATTTTTGTCAAAACCCACAAACTCCCCTCTCGAGAAAATTACAGATCAACCCTGTTTGTACATGATACTAGTAAAGTCTTATTGACACTATTAACTCGACTGAAACATCAGTAAAACTGATTACATAATTTTGCTATATTTTGAAAGAAATCTTGCAAAAAGCTCGGTTGATCTTCAGTTTTTGCCAAGTAGCGGGCTAATTATCAAAAAAAATTATATCTAACTTTTTGTCGGTAATCCATAAGTTGACTTTCTAAGTTCTGGTAAAACATTCTCTGCAACAATACTTAATCTCAATGCTGAAAACGTTGTTTCTGTAATTTTATAGAACTTTCGCCCCTTGCCATTTTCGCAAAGTTTCAGAACATTTCATTCAAAAATGGATCTTAAAAAAGTAATCCAGTTTTGCATCTCCTGGAGAGAATTTTCCCTTCTAAATTAGCTGATGCATATCGCTTTTGTTCTGAATAAGAAGCTGCTAGAAGTTCTACCTTCGGGATTTTTTCGATTTGGATTATGATGTTAACTATTTCACTTGAATTCGTGAAAATAAAAATTTAGTTATACTTGTTCCGATTGGCTGGAGGCTCCGATTCCTGAATAGCCGCTGTCGGCGCTAGCACTCGGGTATTCCTCGCTGAACAATCTGATATCATCCGTCAAATTTACATTCATTGTATCTATGAGTTGAAACAATTATTAATAATTTTATTACTTTATAATAAATCTAATGTTATTCAGATGCCTCTCTATGATGCTGTATTAGTTGTGATATCGGTAACGACTATCAAGAAATTATATTATTAATAGCCTTTATTAATTCGACAGTCCTTTCTAAATTTGTAATGGCTTGTTTGCCGTTGATCAATTGGATAGAAACATCAGACAAAGTATTACGTCATTCACTCATTGGGTATTAAATTGGTTAGGCAACTATGGATTTGAACAACATCTATTTACCGCGATGAGCAAATCCTCCAACTAATGGTTTTTCCTTTGAAGAGAACATTTTAAATTCATATTCTTTTTTCTGAAGCAATTTATGTACATATATTGCCTGTCTCTGATACCCCCGGGTCGAGATCCGCGACTAACTTCTCAACTTTGTCGGCCGCTCAGATGTTAATTCCGCAACTGGAATTTCATAGTCTGGACACGGTTTTATAGTCGCGGACAAAGTCTGGAAATACCGTATTTCTCTCACGATGTTCTTAAAATTTGTCGTGACAAGGTCACAAAAATTAGTGGCGGCATGGTTTTAAAATTAATTGTGACACAGTCTGAAAAAAAAAAGTCGAGACAATGTTTTGAAAATTAATTGTGACACAGTCTGAAAAAAATAAACGAGACATGGGTGACGTCCCATTTGTACCAACGGTCATTTGTACCAAAATGAAAAATCGGTCCCATTTGTACCAAAATTATTCAACTCGTTTTCTGATTGGTCGAATTGTGAGCCAACGAATTATTACATTAATTTTGTACTGTTCAAACAGAAGAAAACTAAGCAGCAGAATAGTGACCGCCGCAGTCGCGCCAACGTGTTGCGAGCTTGCCAACAGAGGGTAGGACTCTATACGAAAAATAGAGCCTGTTATCGCCGCAAAGCGGCGACGCGCACGTAGCGCGCCCACCGGCGACCTTAAACCAATCGCTTGAAGTAGTCGGCTTAATAGTCTTAGGCCAATGGAATTTTTTTTGGTACTAACGCGATTGATTTTTTATTTTGGTACAAATGGGACTGATTTATCATTTTGGTACTTGTGAATACCCACCGAGACATGGTCGATAAGGTAGTCGTTACATGGTTAAAAAACTAATAGCGACATAGTCTAAAAAATTAATCGCGACATGGTCAAAAAATTTGTTGCGATAGTCTAAAAGTTATTCGCGGTAATCTTAAAGTCAGATGCATCAGCGTTTAGACTCAGAAGACTCCAACTCGTGTCTAGGGCCTCCAAATCTAACTTTTGCGCATTAACAGTCGCAATTATTTTGCTTCGGTCTTTAATTAGTCGTGACATTACTATGAAAAAGTTTCCTGTATATGTTCAACTGTATTAACTTAAGTTGAACCACACGGCAGCTTTTTTAATTTTTCGAAGGTTCATATAACTCGAAATTACTTTAAAATGCTGCTGTGTGGTTCCAGTATCAATCGGTTATATTTATATCGTAGAGCAATAACCATTACGAGGCCAAACGGTAAAAGTTTTGAAAGGTTAGGTTAAAAATTTGTTGCGGATCTCACATTATTGCAACTTTTTTTTATCTTCTAAACTGTTTTTGATTCCACTAGCATAGCTAAAACACTTTATCGCTCAAAGTTTCTCCAAATAGAGGCAAATTTCCGAATATCACAACAAATTATGCAGAATCCGCAACAAAAGTTTGCTGAATATTGATTTGTTTGTGGAATCCACAAGCAAATAATCATATATTAGTATAGTAAAATTCGTTATTGCGGAATTCTCAACTGTAAGCGGAACCCACACATTGCCAGCCGAATCCGCTAAAAGTAAGCGGAAAACGCAGAATCCGCTCACCTTTAAGGAGTCCGCGTACATCTGCAGAATCCGGCAAAACTAGTTTAAGTTTCTCGTTAAGGAAACCACGAAAAAATTAAAGTGTCCACAAAAAATTACGTTTGACGTGTTTGAGCGCAGAATCCACGGAAGTTTTATAAGTGGAATTCACTCACATTTTAAATGCTTGTCTCTCAATTCCAATTCACCCTTGACACCAAAAGCACAGATCAATTTTCTAAAATCGAAAACAGATCTCGCACATAAGTTTCGAAACGTTAAAAACGTCCCAATTTCCGATCCAATCCAATGAAGCGACAAGATATCCAATAAAGTGACTGAGCTGCCTCAATATTTACCAAGACTTTACTGGGTATTTGAACTTTGATTATCGTAGAGCTTAATCTGTTTTCCATTCAAAAAACAACTTTTAATTGAACTTTACGAACAATTTAAAGTTGAGCTGTCACAACTTGAACCGGAACAAACTTTAAAATTTTATGATGGAAAACTACACAACCTGCTCAAAGAAAGCTCAATTTAAGTATTTTCCTCCAACTCTCCGACCTCCAATGCTTAAATACAGGGGTAAATGGAAAACTCCTTGTTCTAAATCGGAACTATAGATATGCTTTTTTTTTCTGAGTGAACCAGATGATACAGAACTAATACAAAGGTTGATTTTTTTTGATAATAAAGGTTGACTATTTTTTGTTAATAATAAACTTTGCATCATATTATCTCGAAAAGTAGAGGAAATAAAAAATTAATTTATATAATTAATAAATTTATAATATGCAATTAAAAATTTATATACTTGCTTTGAAATTAAAATGCTGGCGCCAAAAAAAACCTAAACAATAGATAAATTGTTATTATCAAAAAACAATCTGACAGTTGTAAGAAAAAAGGCACTCAGATTGAAGTTTGAGAAAAAATTTTGTTTAAAAGTGGTCTAGAGTGTTTTTGGGATGACTTTTAATCAGCTACTTTGTAGGTGGGTCTGAACTGTTTTAAAAAAAATACAAAAAACAATGGGATTGCGCAAAAGTTCCTTTAAAAAAATGTTTTTGCACAAGAGCAAAGATTACAGTTTCTCTGCAAAGATTACCGCTCAAAAACTAGCACAAAAAGTCACCTGAAAAAAAATAAGGAAATAATATATTTTTTTCAATTTACTCGAAATAACTGATACCCAAGACAATCAATATTTAATCTGTATAAACTAAAATTAGGGCCGTATGAAATCTGTATATAATATGTATAAAACCTGTACATGATACGGCATTGAATCTGTAGTTTATCTGTATAAATTGTTTGTTCGAACCTTCGGTAGCTTGTAAATAATATATACCAAAATATACATTTTTATAGTAGCTATTGAAATGTAGTAGCATGGAAGTAAAAAACGCAATCAATTACAATCGATTTGATGTTTAGGAAAATCCAAATGAAGTTTTCCTTTTTTTGAAATTTTTTAAAGCATGACCATGACCGAGTGATTTGTTTAGTGTTTAGGTAGTCAGTTTTTGGACCTAGTATAATTACCCGATTTTCCGTTCAAATTGAATTGATTTTTGCATGATTTGCATCCATTTGCAAGAAATAGGCCAGACTTTGCATTCTACTAAATAATTTTTATCACATGTTTAAGCTGTTTTTGTTCCAACTTTCGTAACGAAATTAACGGAATATTTGTGCTCGGGACCAGTTTTTTTCCTTCAGAAAAATATCGACTTTTTAACTAGCCATTTTGGACAAAACTTTCTCAAAACCATTCAAAAGGTATTGTTGTTCTAAAATTTGAAAAGAGACAGGTTTTATACTGAGGTTGATTATTTTTGATAATATAGTTAACAAAATTTTGCATCATATTATCTCGAAATGTAGAAGAAAAATGAATTTTGAACGGAAATTCATATATTTTTAATTGCTGGCGCCAAAAATTGCATAAACTTTAGATAGATTGTTATTATCAAGAAGGCAATCTGACAGTTGTAAGAAAAAAGGCACCCAGATTGAAGTTTGAGAAAAAATTTGTTTAAAAGCGGTCTAGAGTATTTTTGGGATGAATTTTAACGAGCTTCTTTGTAGGTGCGTCTTTTTCAACTTTTTTTTCAACAAAATAGAAGTAACAACGGGATTGCGCAAAAAGAGCCATTTTTGACTGGATTTTCTCAATATCAATCAAAAGTTATTGTTTTTCTAAGCTTCAATTTGAAAAAAAAATTCACATGTGTTCTTTTTTTGTAATTTTATGGTGTTTAAAGATTGCCAATCGATGTTTGGCCAATTTGGGACAATTAACGCGCAATATAAGTCGCGCTATTAACGCTTCAGCGGAGATTTAATTGTTCCGACTTTCGAAAAAATCGGAATATTTGTGCTCACTGTGGTTTTTTTATCCAGTCAATTTTTGCCAATCGAAATAATAGTTTTCAACTAACATTTTTATACCCATTGAATATATCGACTTCCCAAGTTCAATTTCAAAAAAAATGTTTATCTCCGATTATTTTTAGGAAAGTTCCGGGGTTTTAAATATTGCCAAATTGGCCATATTCTGGTCTTAATTTCGACAAGTTCAAATTGCTGAGAGCGTAACGCGATTTATTTATGCGTTGCGAATTATCCCGCGCAACAAATTGTTCCAAATTGAAAAACTATTCAATATAATTTAAGGGAGAGACAGAATAGTGTCAGGGCTTAGCAGGGGCGGAATTAGGTGAAAGGGGCGGACCCTTCCCCTCCCCTCAGGGATTCGACCCCTGACGACCCAAAGGGTACTCCTTTGTACTATTTTGAGATACCCATTTTTGCTGACGGACCCAAAACTTTCTAAGGACGCCAATATATACTAAATTCAAGAGGGGAGCGCGCGCCAAAAAAAAACGCGATTTTTTGGAAAAAATTTTCCAAAAAAGCCTTTTTTGACTTGTTTTTTTTTAAAAAAAAAAAACCAAATTGCCTGCGATGCAGAAATTTTGGACCAAACACAGTCTTTGTAGTGCTGGATTTTTTTCCTTCCCCCCCCCCCCACCTCACATGAGCGTCAATTTTGTGGTGTAAATAAGGGTTTTACAAGGTTAATTATGAAGACTAAAAATGTTTGTCATGGTCTAGTTAGTTCGCATGCCAATTTTTGTAACATTCGAATAAAGTGAACAAAATTTCACTAGTAAAATTTTGCAGGTGGGGGGGGGGGGGGGAGGAAAAAGAGCCGTAGTGCTTTGGGAGACCTTGGAGAATCAATTTGTTCGAACTAAAAAAAATGGTTGACA